TTTCCGGCCAACTTGACTAATGCTGTGTCATTCTGTAAACAACATATTACATAGCTAATACTTGTCTATGATTTTAAGTTATATTTTAAGTTCCTTATTTCTTGTAGGTAAACATGTTTATAGATATTGAGTTCGAAAAGTCAATTTTGTAAAATAAAAATTATAAAAATTGTCTAGAAGCAAACTGTTTATAAATTTGATGGAAAATTCCAACAAGTCATTCAATTGACATATTAACACGCCTTACATAACTGTTCTTGTAACCTGCTGTAACCACTTCTATTCCACCAAAAAAATCAAGTGCATTTATTTTTAAAAATTGTTCTGCCTTGATGCGGTCGTTTCCATTTTTGCATTCTTAAATTTTCACCCGTTTCCTTTGTATATGAAACTCTTGCCTTCCTTGAAACTCCATCGAATAGATCCTGTCTCTATTTCTAATGTTTTCCATAGCAAACTAACATCAAATGTATATATGGAAAATATACGGAGCTAGCAAGATTATTGCGTGTTGAATCTTGTTATGTACTCGCTTTATGTATCCTGGATAAATCGAAAATTAAACTTGAATAAAAACAAATGACCATACATGTAACTTTACGAAGTAAGGGAAGTGCTGTTTGTCAGGCTTATTACATATGCAAAATGCAACTGACAGAGATTATGTTATTTTAGTCAAAAGACGCCAGTGTAAACACATCGAAAATACATTACATTACTAACGAACACTCACTTTTCATATAAATAGCGTACAACGAGAAATACTACCCCAACAACGATTGACCAGTGCATGTCATTAAGCTGTGGTAGTCTAACATCTGAATTTTCCTGGTTTTTTAGGTTTTCCCATGATAAACCATGGGGAAACCAAAACTTTTCACTCCAAAACCATGAAACCAATGCCGCCATATTTAATTTACTTTGCTTTTATGTTGACATGAATCATGTCTTTTTTCAAGAGCGGTATCGATTTCTCGTAGAGTTGCGATATTGTTTCTCTACTTATATAACAAAAGCACATTTCCAGTTGGACAACTAACTTTTTTAATGATAGATTCAATTCAGCAAGTTTATCAAACACACATCGTTAATGCATGATAAAAAAAAAAATGTGAAAAGCAGGTTAAGAGAATAAATCGCTCATTTGGCTTTACAACGGGCATGGGGTAACTCAGTTTCACACAAAAATGTATGAATCAAAATGAAAAGGAAAAATGGTTCATAGACATGATTGCTTAAACGTTTACAATCCCCTCGAAAAACATTAATCATTCAAACAAGTTACAAACATTTTTTTTAATATCATAGACTGAGGGCAAATTGAACCCTAGCGATTTTACTGCTCAGTCATAACTAAGTGCTTCGTTTGTCTTTGGATAGCAAATGGGAGCCTGCAATAAATACCTCGCAGCAAATGAGTCCTTTTAATCACAATGTTATATACTGTCTCTGTAGAAGTTGAGTAAACCTATATTCAGTCTACAAGAAATTTCTCTTGCAAAGTAGAATATGTTATTCATATTTTTATTGATAAATATTTACTGTAGAAGTCTACGTCAAGCATGCCATTTACTCGTCTTAAATTAATTATAAACTATTGTTTTAAAACATAATAGGCTGCAGTACCAATTTTGGGACAATTAGAAACACCGAAATATACACCGCAATACGCATTTTTACCTTAATACTCACAAAGATAAATGTAATGTGATTTAACTGAGTTTTAATAATTAATTGATCAAAAGCAAAATACATTTTGATTCTACTGAATGTTATAGGTATTTTTTACATTTTTCAACTTAAAAGTTCTTTCGTTTAAATGAAGCCAGTCAATCGTACTTATTAGACAGCTTTTACCTAGTTTTGTAGGTCGGTTAGGCGTTTATTTACTTTAAAACACAAAACAATATGATATTTGCAAGGAAGATATGTAAAAGACACATTCTGGTTTAACAACTTCCACAAACTGTTTCTCATTTAGCATATGTCATTGAATCATACAAATTTAGAACTCTTATTTGTGAAGTACATGATGCAGTTGTTAATCGAGCTGTTTCAAACATTTAAAATCAGTACTTTTATCCCCTCTTTGGAAAAAAAAAAGTCTGTCTCCACATCCCCGTTTGTTTGTACCCCCGACCGATTTCAATAACGAAAACGTTTAATGTGATGAAAAGTGCACAGGACAAAGTCAATTGACTCATTGATTTTATAATTTTACCCTGACTTCGACCAGAATGGCACTAATACTGGCATTCCCTTACACTTTTCATGCTTAACGGACTTCCCATACTAACACCGCGACATATTCAGTACACTATCAGCTAGTTTATCTCCATTCGGCTACATAACGACGTAATACATCCTGTTCGGTAACTGCTGGATAATTCTGTAAATTACATAACGTTGAGTATGGAATAAAATCCCTTTACACACATGAACATAATAATTAAACAGCTTGTTAAATCCACGTGAAAAGCAACTTTGTTGTTGTCATTCTTTTCCTTTGCTTGATTCAACATTTAAAATATCATAAGCAGACGACATATATATATATATATATATATATATATATATATATATATATATATATATATATATATATATATATATATATATATATATATATAAGGTGGAGCATACACCCCTTTGCTGAAAATGGACTTATCCTGGAACTGGCAATGGGTTTCAAGCATATTCGTCTATTATATTGAAAACTTCCGTTCAGCACGAAACATGCAGACAACGACGGTGTTAGGGTCATTGTAAAAATCAACGAATGATTTGACTAAGTTCTTCGCTCTTCTTATCACATTAAAGATTTCTATTATTGAAATTGGTAGGGGATACAAACAAACCGGTTGTTATACTCGGAGACTATAGTAGTGTATACCTTCAGGTTGTAAACCCGTAGGAGTTTATAACGGTCTTTGTTTCATTACTGTTGTTTTTTCTGTACATGATGTTTTTAAGTTCGTCAGAATAGATGTATTTTGGTAACCATTATCAAAACAGATTATGTAATAAAATAGTTACAATGTGAAGTACATCGTGACCATACAACAGTCGTCACCCACCATAGATGATGTAATTCTATATGATGAACTCCAATGCAACTTTTCAATTATTGTAGCCGTACGTTTCGCTATTTATTAATTCCGATAATGACCACTAAAGTGAATACGTTATTCTTATAACATACGCATATGTTTGGGAGAAATTCAAATAGCTTCAAATTGTTATTTGGTTTTAAATTGAATCATTTGCAGTTAACATTCCCAACATTGAACGACATTCTAAAGCTTTACAAATATGTTGTCTTTGAATTTCTCAATATCTAGGTTTTCTCAGTTGTTTATTTGTTACTTGTTGATTTTTTTTGTTGTCTTTTTATATCTGCGTTATGATTACTATAAACTCGTCTGGATTGACTTCGCTTTCAATTATTGCTTTGCATTATCAGTGCTTATACATGGCGGCCAGTGTAACTGGTGAGAAGAATCCTGGAAAATACACCGACTCTAAAGAAGCTGCTAGCATGCTTTCTCACGTACCCACTTTAGCTGAGATCGAGACTCGAACCCTATAAACAAAGCAAAGTACAATGGGTCACAGATTTCATTTCCGAATCAGCATCAATCAGTTACTCACCGTGGACTGTCGCAAAACTACAAACAGACATACATAACGTACTGCTCATATCGTAAAGAATATAGTTACCTTTAAAGCAATATCAAAAATGGCCTAAATCTAGCTCTTGTTTCACCACCAAAATGAGAGATGAAAAACTCAAGCAGGTGTTTTACCATAATACCGGAAAATTTCCCGTTCTACATTCCAGTGGCATAGCATCACCAACTTTTGCAACTGGGGGTGAGGTGATAAATTCTCATTTGAAAACCATTTTGATTGTTAATTGGGAGGGGGACCAAGAATTGCGTTGCAGGTTGGAAATAATAATTTCTTGCTCCGACACTACCTTCTTCTATCCAGTTTTAAACTGTATGTGCTACCTTATAATATTTTCTAAAACCTTTTTGGTATTCGATGTCTTTTTTTTTACCAAATCATGTTTAGTTTCATTAATTCTTTTTTTGTTAGTTGAAAATGAGTGCCATGGTCAGTTGTTAGTGTGGGATATAATAGTATTTAAAAAAAAAAGTACACCTCGCCGGACACTCTAGGTCGGTAAGCTTCGTGTCTTTTCACTCATTTATCTGATGATAAAAGACGTAAAATGGATGTGGCAGCTTTGACGTTTGGTCTGCAATATGTTTTATTATCTATGACGGTTTTCATTTTCTCATTCTTTTTTTTTTTTTACAAAAAAAAAATTAGAAAAGTTGCTGCTCTCATTATTGAGTAACAATCCATGTGCTATTGATAGTCAAACGTGAACTAAGGCAAACTGGAATGATATGCTTTACAACATTTTACATATCAATGTTTGACCGTGGGTCAGCTGTAAACATCAATAGCTTTTCAAAAGCATGAGGCAGTCTATCCTAATGACTTAGTATATGGTGATTGTTGAATTGCTATTTTTTTATACAGTCCACATTTGTCTGCAGGGTACGCTAATATTTAGATGAAAATGGTAAAGCACTTCAGAGGTCGGATTTTCGTGATCTCTAACGACTTGCTTTGTACGTGTTTTCTAATCTCGTCAATATTATGAACAAAAACGATTTTATATTTTAACCAATGAACAAAGTACAGTTAACAAATAATATCTATTATTGAAGATTTATGATCTTGTATCATTCCTTTTATCTACAGACGTTTTAACTCTTCCTGTTATTTTTTTTTTAATTTGTAGCTTTTAAACTTAAAATTTTTAAACATTTTCAAACTTGTTTTAAATTCTACCTTTCGTCTTCTCCGTTTAATTTACAAGGAAATTTGGAAAATTATTTCATAATAATAATATAAATGTGATACTATATTAGTGGAAGAATGACTTGAAATGTTATTTACAAGTAGCTAAGACTAATTAGACCGCTCTGGTGGCCTAGTGGTTAGAGCGTCTGCCTCGTATGCGGGAGATGGTAGGTTCAATCCCCGGCAGAGTCATACCAAAGATTTACAAGTATGGTACTAACAGTTGCCTCGCTTGACATTCAGCATTAAGAGGTTAGTGTCAGCCTGATGTCAGGATAATGTGACTGGGTGGGACATCATGCTACATGTCTGCGGCATGATGCTCCAGTGCTAGACTTCACTATAAACTGCCACACTGCCGACATCGTAGCAATATGACTGAAAAATTGTTAAAGCTACGTTAAACATCCAAATCACACACCCACACAAACAGACTAATTTGAAATGTAATTGTACGCATAAATCCGGATTTCAAGACTGGTCGCAGACGCGAAATAGAAAGAGACAACGAGTGTTACAGAACTAGCGGCTATTGTCAACTTATCAAAATGCATACATCAATAAACAATATAAAATGACAGAATTGGAAGAGAGGCAGGTATAATGAATACATGAATAAATACATAAAACCAACAATATTTACATTTATATTTGATGTTAATAAATAATTTCAAATCATCGGTGAAACAAATATAAATATTGTATGTGGGTGGGTGTTATTTGGGTGATTAACGTAGCTTTAACAATTTTTTCAGTCATATTGCTATTCTGTTTCAAAATTCAGATTAATACAAAATACAAGTAACATCGGTGATACAAAACATTGAATCAAATGCATCTTTAGAAATATTTGGTGTTCCATCCGTTGACTTCTACCTAAGGTTCTACGGTTGCCAAATATTTATAAAATCGAAAGGTGTTTGTTAAGATGATCTTCGTTTAGATTATTTTTCATTCCATGTGCATCATTTGACCTTTCTAATCTTTCGGAATCAGATAAACAGAGAAACTTTTCTACTTGTAAAGTTCAAGATATAAAAAAAAGTGTGTGTGCGCGAGCGCGCGCGCGTGTGATTTCAAGATGGCAAATATAATTATAGAGGCAACTGTGCGAGTACAATTTAACCCTACCCAGACCTTTAACAGAATTGCTTATTCTGTTATTAGTACAGTTGTACTTTGAGGTACAAATGTGTTAAGTACAAAACAATCTTTAGAAGTTTTATTTATCAAGCATTTGTCAATATTTCGTATACCCCTTCTTATTCCGTATGCCGTTTTATTTAAAATAACTCTTTGTAAGTTGCATTTACAATATCTATATTTAAACGAGTGTTTGTATTCTTCAGATTAAGCGGAAATGAAGACATATCCGAATACTATTTTCCAGCGGAAATGGAGACAAATCCGAATACTTTTTCCAGCGGATTTTGCCCTTCCTGTATATTTGTAATAAACTAGAAATGGCTTAGGGTAATGGTAATAATTCAATCGAAAATCATTCGTTTCAAGATGATAGCTTCAACAGATGCATACTGTCTAATGCAAGTCGATGATACTCTAAATATTGCTAAAGTATACATAATAAAGAATGAATAATAAATAAAAAATAGTAAAGGGAATTTGAAGATGTGCCATTTGAAGGTGGTTATTGTTTCACACCAAAATCTTGACTTGTACAAATAGGACGAAAAGGAAAGTATTTGTGTATACATTAGGGTCGAATGGCATCTCAGTACAATAATGATTATATGATACCAATTAAAAATCTAGTCATCAAAATTGAAAAAGGCATATCTGCGCAACAATGTTAATCCCTTCGAAATAAATGAAGATTTGATATAAAGAAGACACAATGCCACAAAGGAATGCCTCGAAAAGGGTGAAATTACAAGATTGAATTTAAAATAAAAAAAATCACTTTAGAATAATCACAAAACACCTTTTTTAATTTGACAGAAAAGAGTGAAAAGCAAAACTGCTTTTTAAAATTTAACAAATAATTTATTCCCCTAGAATACAAAGTGAAAACAAGAAAATGTTTTACAGACACAAGTCGTAATAATTTAAGTTCCTGAATAAAATAACACAATAACACTTCATACTTAGATACAAGGGTGTGTGTGTGTGTGTGTGTGTATATATATATATATATATATATATATATATATATATATATATATATATATATATATATATATATATATATATATATAGACATAACTGTAGGTAGACACATTACTGTACCCTCTCATACAATCAGAAGATAGAAGGCGCAAAGACTTTTAAGTTTTAGTGTTGTTTTTTTTTTTTTATTTGAGGAAGACATACACATTACAAAACATAAAAATACAATTTGTTTGCAAATATGATTAGCATCCTTTTTTATACTGATCTGTGTGACCCCGAAACGATCCGTTAGCTATGTGCTACTCCTCTCTCACCCGAATCACAGCATGCTGCACTCTTAGGTCCTATTTGCTTCACGATCTTTTTGCAGAGACTATGAGCCCTAAACTATGCTCGTTGACCTACTTTTAGTCTTTCTCTTCCTCCGTCTACATCCAAGCTATAGTCCGATTCTACTAACCCGTTGGTTTGTACCCCCTACCGATTTCAATAACGGAAACATTTAATTTGTTAAAAAGTGCAAGGAACTTAGTCATTGGTTTATATTTTCTAACCTGACTGTGAGTAGAATGGCCATAATACCGTCGTCATCTGCGCGTTTCATGCGTAACGAAGTTTTCAATGTAATAGACTGACATGCTTGAGAACCAATTCCAGTTCCTGGACAAGTCCCTTTTCAGCAAAAGGTTGTATGCGCGACTAAAGATGTACATATATATGTCGTCTGCTTCCGATATTTAAGGTGTCGAATCAAGCAAATGAAAAAACAAATGATAAAAAAAATGCCTTTCACGTGAATTTAACAAGTGGTTTTATTAATATGTTCATGTGTGCAAAGAAATATAATTACAAACTCAACGTTATGGCAATTTACGGAATTATCCTGCAGTTACCTAATATGATTAATTACGTTATTATCTTGTTGGATGTAAATGAACTACCCCATAGTGTAAGGATTATGGCGTCGTATTAATACGGAATGTTCGCTAAGCATGAAAGGTGCAAAGGATTCCAGAATTAGTGCCATTTTGGTCACAGTCAGGTTAGAAATTATAAATCAATGATTCATTTGACTTAGTTCTGTGCACTTTTTAGTTATTGAAATCGGTAGGGGGTACAAACAAATGGGGATGTAGCATCGGACTATATATATATATATATATATATATATATATATATATATATATATATATATATATATATATATATAGATGATCCAATCTTCGGAATGTTTTATGTACCTTCAGCGTATTGGGACCGAAGAGAGGGAATTTCTATTATTGTGGTAATATCTGGGCGAATGGATCGTATATGCGTAGTAAATTATTTTTTTTTAAGCAAAATTAGTTTTGAAATTAAAGTGAAAACCCATAGAAAATTGAAGGGCAAAGGTGTAACATCCGACGCTGGAAGCAAGTGCAGCCTTAGATACTTGTACCTCATGCGAATGGCAAGACGACAATGGATTAAAGTCAAGTTCGACCAATTGGCTATTGTCTACGTATAAAAAAGTTAGGCGGCAAGGGTCAGATGAAACTCGGATTATTGGTGCCATTGCATATCTTGTGTTATGGGATTGGTGGACAGGTACTAAACTGGGTCAAGAAAAGCACGTCGTGTCTTATCTTCACAATATAGGGTAGTGCGAATTTGTTTATCAACATGCGTAGCATTGACATTCATTTGGGAATGTACTGGATCACACCCAAACGTCCAAAAATATCCACGTACTTTAAAATTGATTTTGCCGTAGGTACCTCACGGGGCGTGTAAATACTGGCCTTCCTAATGAATATGGATGTATGAGAATAAAAAAAAAAAAAAATAAGCGACCAATTGCCATTTCAAGGTATATGAAATTGAATTCTAAAATTCTACAGCCATTACTAAAATGATTAGTGACGAACGTATACATGACATATATGACTATTACGATATGGTTGTATTCTTACGGAAATTGAGTAGTACTCGAAAATTGGATACAGCGTCTGCAATCGAACTAGACTGCAAGCTTGCTACGGCGACACAAAACTACGAATGTAAAATGAAGATGGAAAATCCTTACAAGTAAACCCCACAATCGTTAATATATTTTGTTTAAAGATGATACACCCGGAAGTCTGTCAGACACAACTTTCTTTTGTTTCTATGACAAAATACACAAAACGCATATGTAAAAGCTAATGTTTTAAACTTGGCTGTTCTAAAATTATTGAAAACTTTAGAAACTTAAATATATGTTTTAAATATATCAGTTGTTAGGCAACCGAATAGATTCCTCCATAAATTTTATCCCTTTTCTTCCTTATATGGTACAACCATAGTCATAAGTATTGTGGTATTGCATACACGAGTTAGTTTTGATAATCACTCCATCCCTAACACACACACACACACACACACACACACACACACACACACACACACATCCATTTTCTGGTTTCAATTTGAGTGAAATACTTGTACTTCTGGTTTTTAAAATTGTGTTGCACTTTTTCGCAACAGATGCTTTTTTGTATGAGCAAGATGAAATGCAGTGTTTTCTTTCTCCAGCAAATCCAAACACAGCCTCATCAAACTGTAAGTTTTTTTTTTCTCTTTTCGATGTGATAGTGTATCAGACGTTTTCTTAACAAATTACTAATGTTGACATTCATCGTCATCGTCAACGTTTGTGGCTCCTGCTGGGGCATAGGCCGCCAACAAACTCTCTCCAGCCATCCTGGTTTTGAGCAAGTCTCTCCATTTGTCCCCACGTGTGGTCTGTCTTCTTTAGGTTCCGCCGCCAGGTGTCTCTTGGCCGGCTTCTCTTCCTTTTCCTCTGGTGAGTGCTTGCCTGGTGGTACTGGATGCAGGCTTATGAAGTGTGTGGCCTATTCATCTACAGCGTCATTGAGAGAATTTCTTCCTATGCAGGCTGTTGTGTTGGCATTGCTGGTAGCGTTATGTTCTGTAGGAAATCACTACACGAATTACTAGCAACAGATGCAAGGATTATACTGTGCTAGACAGCATAATTGTTTTATCTTTTTATTTTAGTGTTGTCTTATTTCTGCACAAAA